ACCTTGAAAATGGTAATCAAACACTTTATTACATTTTGTGGTAATGCTTGCAAGTTAATCTTTTTAACTGCAAAGAACCGTGACAATATCATGCTTTAATTATTTAACATTGTATGGTATTCCTATTTACTTCTCTTAATTAATATGCATGTTAACAGACGTATATAGTTATTACTTTATGATATTGTTGGAGTGCCCGATTTAAAAAAAATGACAAAAGATACATTTCTCACAAAATTAAAAGATTGCAATTTAAAAGTTAGATAGTCATGTAGGATCTGTCTCCTACAGTCAATCTATAACTACATACCCTTTTGAAATTTTATTTGAAGGTGAGATTACCCAAAAAGGCTTTGATAACAACATAAAAAAGCTCCTGACAGCAGAAAAATCAGGTAGGTTTTGATATTTTTGAACAACATGCAAAATAATCTCCTTTATTTAACATGATATGCTTAGCAGGTTATGATTGAATAACCACTTTATTAATAGGTGCAATACATTTTGAAAGCAGATGACTGTGCAGTAGTCAGTGATTGTAGTAAAATTCTATAAACCACATGTTTCACATCAATGCCCTATTTATATTGCAGATGACACTACTTCAACACGTGGCAATGAATTTCTCAGTAAGAAAACCCCAATTATTTTGCTTTAAGATCACTTGTAATATAGAACTCGCTGTGGATCAGTTTGATTAACTTTCAGCTTCATCCATTACAGGTGCAGCAGAGGCCTTTGGTAAAGCCAAGAAACTACTACAGCCTCAAGTAAAGAAAAGGCAGTTTCCATTGAATGATAAACGTTTGGACCATGGCAAATCATTATTGAAGGTTAGTTAAAAAGTGAAGCTACCTGTATGACTATCAGCAATATATTAAAAAATAACTTTCTAAAAAGGCATATTTTTTAATAAATTTCCCTTTTTTTCCTTGATGCTAGGTCAGACTGGCTCCCTTGGGGTGGAAGCCAAGAACTCATAGAAAGTGTGGACGGTACCAGAAGTTAATAATGGACGAAGCTCCACTTCGAATCATTCTTCAAGGCCATGAAACCTATGGTGATTTAATTACCATAGGCAAAGAACGCTTCTGGCCAGAGTGTACTGAGGGGAGTGAGTTCACTCTTTGCCATTCTGAGGGGACCAGGTGGAGTAAGGAGGAGTTCCACAAAGAATACGGAACTGTTTCTGATGTTACACATATGTGTAACACATATCATTTTAGGTGGGGGAACTTGCACAATCGGTGGCTGACTAAATACTTTTTTGCCCCACTGTAAGTATACTGTATATCCGCTTGACTTTATCCTTGTATTATTAGAGTTTAATGTATGCTGGAGTATAAAATAAATAAGGGCCTGTAAGTGTGGAGAAAAAAATGATGTAAGAAAAAGTAAACAGCTTTAGATTGTTCATGGACAGTGACTTTCTTTCCTTGTTAAACAGATTATGATCAACTAAAAGTCATCAGAGCATTACACTTAGACCTTTTGGAGTTGTAGCTTAAATCTGGTCCACTCCCCAGCCTTAGAAATAACACTGATCGTAGGTTCAATGGAAAAGAACTAACAACTACCACTTTGATTGACAGGGTAACTTGTAAGAGCTATTTGCACAAATAAAAAATAATACTCAGACCATAGCCTTTACTGTTTCAAAAATGGTTAAAAAGTGAACGTCTACAACTTAGACTAATGGCAGAATATTTTATTAAAGAAATTTAGCAAGAGCATGGTAGAAGTAAAATAAAAGAGTAAAAATCCCCAAACAATAATCAAAAACTACACTTATCTAACTAACCTATCGTGAGTTGAATTTGTTCTTATCTTTG